TGTCCCAGCTCCTATACTGAAAGGTCTGAGCAATGAAGGCAAGCGTGCTAAATGCCTTCTTAATCACCCCAGAGAAAGACACAATGAAAGAAAGAGAGAATGAGACACAGAATCCCTACAGTGTGGAAGCAGGCCATTCGGCCCATCGAGTCCACACTGACCCTCCGGAGAGCATCCCATCCAGAGTTTCCCCCCATTCCCAGCCTGCACATCCATGGGCATTATGGGGTAATTTAGCACAGCCAATCCACTTAACCTGCTCATCTTTGGACCGTGGGAGGAAACCGGAGCACCCAGAGGAAACCCATACAGACACAGGGAGAATGTGCAAACTCCACACAGACACTCACCTGAGGGTGAAATCGAACCCAGGTCCCTGGCACCGTGAAGTAGCAGTGCTAACCACTGAGCCACCATGCCGAGAGAGGAACACATGAGAGTAGGGAGGGGAATATGGCTGTGGATTACTCCTTGGTCTTGTATGACTGTGCCTATGAAAACCTGGAGTGGATTGTCGACCCAGATGCTGAGACCTCCGCTGTGACCCATCTGCACGTCATGTAGACCCAGCACACCATCAAAACCTGGATCCTGTACCCTGTGCTCCAGGGATTGGGACTGGTGCCAAGTGAGGAAGAACCAGGTACTGCCTGGTCCCCTCCAAGGGTCTGTACTTCCTCAGAGAGACTGCTTGGGACTGTTCTTGTAGTTCAGAAAGTTCAGGGGTTAGATTGAACTTGATACTTGAGTATAGCTTTGGCCTCCTTGTATAACAGAGACACCCCTGGGGGTTCAGGTACATAATTCTTTGAAGTTTGCGTCACATGTAGACAGGGTGGTTAAGAAGGCATTTAGCTCACTTGCCTTCATTGCTCAGAGTATAGGAGTTGGGACGTCATGTTGACGTTGTGCAGGACGTTTGTGAGACCGCTTATGGAGTACTGTGTCCAGTTCTGGTCGTCCTGTTGTAGGAAGGATATTGTTAAGCTGGAGCGGGTCCAGAAAAGATTTACCAGAATGTTGCTGGGAATGGAGGGTTTGCGTAGTAAGGAGAGGCTGGATAGGCTGGGACTTTTTTCACTGGAGCGTAGGAGGCTGAGGGGGTGACCTTACAGAGGTTTATAAAATCATGAGGGGCATAGATAAGGTGAGTGACAGGTATCTTTTATCTCGGGTAGGGAATTTCAAGACTAGGGGACATATTTTTAAGTGAGAGGAGAGAGATTTATGAGGAGCAATTATTCCATTTACACAGAGTGGTTCGTGTGTGGAATGATCTTCCAGAGGAAGTGGTGGATGTAGGTACAGTTACAATGTTTAAAAGATATTTGGATAAGTACATGAATAGGGAAAGTTTTGGAGGGACATGGGCCAGGAGCAGGCAGGTGGGACTAGTTTATTTTGGGATTGTGGTCGGCATAGAGTGGTTGGACTAAAGGGTCTGTTTCCGTGCTGTATGACTCTATGAAAAGAGAGAGATGGAGACAGGACAGCAGTTGCAGGGATTAACATGACTGAGCGACAGAAGGAGAAGAGATCAAAGGCTGATGCAAACAGAGAGAGAAGATTACAGTTCCATGTGGACATTGCTGGCAAAAAGGCAGCATTTTTTGCCCACCCCTTCGAACTGACTAGCCTATTTGGGAGATTTCAGAAGGTGCTTAAGAAATATTGCTGTTGATAAAAATGCATGGAATTGCTGGAGAAATTTAGCAGGTCTGGCAGTATCTGCGGAGGAAGAGTTGTTAATGTTTCAGAACTATTTGCTGTGGGGTCTGGAGTCACGTGTAGGCCAGACCGGGTAAGGAGGGCAGATTTCCTTCCCTAGAGAGGCATTGGTGAGTCAGATGGATGTTTCCGAATGTCAATGGTATGAGTCTAGCTCTCATGTTTCGTAGGCTCTGTTTAAACTCCACAAGTTCAGCACAGAGCTATGTAGAATCATAGAATCCCTACAGTGTGGAAACAGGCCATTCGCTCCATCGGGTCCACACTGGCCTTCCAAAGAGCATCCCACTCAGACCCAATCCCCTACCCTAATCCTGTAAACCCACATTTCCCATGGCTAATCCACTGAACCTGGACACGTTCCTGAGGCCAATCCACCCTAACCTGCATATCTTTGGACTGTGGGAGGCAATGGCCTAGCGGTATTATCGCTGGACTGTTAATCCAGAGACCTGGGTAATGCTCTGGGGACCCGAGTTCGAATCCTGCCACAGCAGATGGCGGAATTTGAATTCAATAAACATCTGGAATTTAAGGGTCTAATGATGACCGTGAATCCATTGCTAATTGTCAGGAAAAACCCCTCTGCTTCACTAATGTCTTTAGGGAAGGAAACTGCCATCCTTACTTGGCCTGGGCCCACATGTGACTCCAGACTCTCAACTGCCCTCTGGGCAATTAGGGATGGACAATAAATGCTGGCCTGGCCAGCGACACCTTCAAAAACAAACCCGAGCGCCCAGGAGGAAACCCCACGTGGGCACAAGTGAAAACTCCACACAGACAGTCACCTGAGGGCGGAATCGAACCCGGGTCCCTGGCGCTGTGAGGCAGTAGTGCTAACCACTGAGCCACCATGCCACCACCATTTGTAATGAGGGAGTTCAAAATGGAGGATCTGAGGAATGGCATAGCTCAAGTGTGTGGTTGGCATGGAGCTGTTTGGATGAGGGTTGGGAGGTAGTGATTGATATGGAATGCCAGGGTCGGACTGACTGGGCCGAATGGTCTGCATTTTGGCCCCGTGCTTCCTGTCTCAGATGGGATTTGTACCATCTGAGTCTCAAAAGTGGTCATTAATTTCGCCTCGTTGAGTGAGAGAGAGGCAGGATTCTGGGGCAAGTTCAGGAAGCCCCCCCAAACACCAAAACAAAACCCTTGCTAGCTCAGAGCTGGTGAGGCCACAGGCTGAGGGAGGGTGACACCTGATGGTGGGACTGCAAACTGCATGGGCTGGAACGAGTCCACTCTGGTGTCTGGGAAACCGGAGTTTGAGGGAAGGGGAAGGGAGGGAAAGAGCTTTCATTTAGAAACAAAAACAAGATAGGGAGTTCCCCTTCTAACAGCACAGCGATTAAACAGACCAAGCGCGGGAGAGGTCAGAAATGATTGCGATGGTGACGCCCCACGCAGCTGAATGTCCTATACCTGCTCCACCATTAAGCACGATTATGGCTAGTTCTGCACCTCAACGACACTGTCCTGGCCACCCCCTATACCCCGCCTGATTGCCCTAGAATCCGATCTGGCCCCCCCCACTCCACCTCCTCCAATAGAGCCGTACAGCACAGAAACAGACCTTTCGGCCCAACCAGTCCATGCTGAACATAATCCCAAACCAAACTAGTCCCACCTGCCTGCTCCTGGCCCATATCCCTCGAAACCTTTCCTATTCGTGTACCTATCCAAATGTCTTTAAAACGTTGTAACTGTACCTGCATCCACCACTTCCTCTGGAAGCTCATTCCACACACAAACCACTCTCTGTTTAAAAAAAATTGCCCTTCATGTCTTTGTTAAATCTTTTTCCTCTCACTTTAAAAATATGCCCCCTAGTCTTGAAATCCCCCCACCCTAGGGAAAAGACACCTACCATTAACCCCATCTATACACCTCATGATTTTATAACCGCTATAAGGTCACCCCTCAACCTCCTACGCTCCAGTGAAAAAAGTCCCAGCCTCTCCTTATAACTCAAACCTTCCTTTCCCAGCAGCATCCTGGTAAATCTCTTCTGAGCCCCTCTCCAGCTTAATAATCTCCTTCCTGTAACAGGGTGATCATCTTCAAAATATTCAGTGCTGGAGGGTTCACAATTCTTAGGTGGAGAATTGGAAAGATTGACCGGCCTCTGAGTAAAGAAATTCCTCCTCCTATCAGTCCTAAATTGCCTGCCCCTTTGTCCCAGGACTGCACCCACACTGTTCTAGCTTTCCCTGTCCAGCCTAAACTCTCTACACGAGTCCGCTCGAACCCTGACGAACATTAACATTCATCGCACCCTTTTTCAAAACCCTGTTGCCTTTTCTGATCCTGCAGCTGAAGTGAACTAAATCATGTACCTTGCCCGCTCCATCTGGCACCTTGCTACAGAGGCATAGACGTGTTCAGTGAGGAAACAGACCCTTTGGTCCAACTCGTCCATGCCGACCAGACATCCTAAATTAATCTAGTCCTATTTGACCCATATCCCTCTGTACCCTTTCTAATCATGTACCCATCCAGATGCCTTTTAAATGTTGTATTGTACCAGCCTCCACCACTTTCTCTGGCAGCTTGTTCCATACACGCACCACCCTCTGCATGAAAAAGTTGCCCCTTAGGTCCCTTCACCTTAAACCTATGCCCCTCTAGTTTTGGACTCCCCTACCCTGGGGAGAAGACCTTGACTGTTCACCCTATCCTTGGCTCTAACGATTTTATAAACCTCTATAAGGTTTATAAAGGTTTATAAACCTCTATAACCCCCAGCCTCCGACGCTCCAGGGAAAATAGCCCCAGCCTCTCCCTAACAGCTCAAACCCTCCAACCCCGGCGACATCATTTCTGCATCCTTTCAAGTTTCACAACATCTTTCCTGTAGTGGGGAGACCAGAAAATGAACGCAGTGTTCCAAAAGTGGCCTTAACCAATGTCCTGCACAGCCGCAACATGACCTCCCAACTCCCCTATACTCACTGACCCATAAAGGCATGTGTGCCAAACATTTCCTTCACCGCCCTGTCTACCTGCAACTCCATCTTGCAACCCAAGGTCTCTTTTTGTTTTCAGCAACACTCCCCAGTGCCTTACCATCCACTCACTTTTTAACTTGTCTCTCTTTCCCTCTTGTCTCTCTTTGCAGCAGGGTTAACAGTCCCAGCCTTACTCTGCGTTGTCCCGATACGGTGACCTTAGGCTCAGTTGGTTTGTTGAAAGTCGTGAGTGTCGACTGTAAAAAAATAGTGTGGCTGACGGCTGTTTGCTCTTTCTGTCTCTCCCTGTGCCGGCAGTCTTGCTGTCCCAGCCCATCAACGACGACAACATGGAATGCAACACGCTGAAGATCACTGACTTTGGCCTTGCCCGAGAGTGGCACAAGACCACCAAGATGAGCACAGCGGGCACCTACGCCTGGATGGCCCCAGAGGTGATCAAGACCTCCACCTTCTCGAAGGGCAGTGACGTGTGGAGGTGAGATGCTGTGGGCAGGTCGTTGCTGCTTGTCCCCTTCCTTGATGCCAGCGCCCCCCCCCCCCC